CCCCCCCCCCCCCCCCCCCCTCCCACCCGCCCGCCCCCCTCTTCCTCCACTCCCGACCCCCTCGTCCTCCTCGCCATCCGCCTCCTCAAGTCCCCCGCCCGCGGGCCTTCTCGAGAGCCTCGAGCGGCTTCCTGAGGCCAGCCACGGCCTTGTCTTTCATGATGCTCTTCTCGGCCACCGAGAAGACTACCTCCCATGCCCCGAGCTGGCCCTCGGGGACGGCGTCGACCCAGCGGCCGCCGCCAGAGAGCCCGCCGCGAACGTTGGCGACGAGCTCGAGCACGGCCTCCACCTGGTCCTTCGCCTTCTGCGCGGCCGCCTCGCCGAGCACGTCGAGGACCTCGCGGCCCTTGCGGGCGCTCTCCTCGGCGCGCTGGCGGACGCCGACCGCCGCCTCGACGCCCGCGAGGTCCGTCACGTGCTTGACCACCTTGCGCTGGAGCAGCTGGATGGTCGCTACCTGGGTCGGCTGGCCCAGCGCACTCTGCACGTCGAAGTCCATCTCCTCGGTCTTGTGGTCGGCCATCAGCTTGTCGCACGCCCCGTGGAGCGACGAAGCCTCGACTAGGATCTGCATCATGTCAGCGGTCTGGTCCGCGCTAACGCCCGCGCCAGTCCCCTGGGCAAGGTCGACGGTGCAGCTCGCCACGCGATTGACCAACTTGCTCGGGAACTCGTCGACCGAAAGGCGAAGGCACCACGGACAAATCCTTTGACGAGCTCGAGGGTCGGCTCGGGCAACCCCGCCAACCCAACTGCACCAACAGCCGCCTCGACCGTGCCGAACGTCTCCTCGCTCTCATCATTCGCGAAGGCCTCCAGCGCCACGTGGAGCGCGTTGACGTCGTTGCCCCTCCCCTGGTTGTTCTCCTTGGTCGTCGCCGCGTCGAGCCACTGCGGGAACTTGGTGTCCAGCGGGAACTTCTGCACGGCGTGCTTCAACATCGCTTGCAACAGAAGTGGTGGGAGGTCAGCGCCGTCCGAGCCCAACGTGTCCGCGGCGATCTTGCCGACGCAATTCTCAAGATCGGTGACCAGGGGCGCCATGAGCACGCGTGGCAATGCAACAACCAGGTGGAGCTCTTGCCAACACGTCCGTCGCAGTCTTGATCGCAGCCTCACGGTCGGACGTCCAAGTACCAAGCACGGACTGGGATTGCGCTCGGACGGCGTTGAACTCAGCCCTGTTCTCGGAGATCCTGACCTTGTTCATCACCAGTGAGTTGATCACGTCGTGGTAGCGCGGCACGCCGGCAAATGCAAGGCTAACCATCTCCAAGATGGGCTTGTTCTTTTCCTCGCGCTGGAGCGAAGTCAAGTTGGCTAGATGATCTTCGCCAGAGTCCTCCTTGAAGGCGCGGATCGGGTCAAACACGGTCGCCACGGTGTCGACCAGGCAGGTCATCTCGCACATGAAGGCGGCCTGGTCTTCGGCGGTCGTGGCACTCTCGGCAACCGAGGTCAGCTCGCGATCGAACTCGAGGCAGATGACCTGCAGTAAATCTGACACGATGGCCTCGCCATTGGCGATCAGCTTCGAGAAAAAGGTCCGAACGAATAAGTCAATGAAGAGCTTACGCTTATCAGCGAAGACAACGTCGATCTGCCAGAGCTTCGGCGACGTCGGGCTCTCCTCGGCGACGGCTCCCGCAGACAGCGGCCACGTCATGCGCATCAGGTCGATGGCGTGGTCAACGCTCGATGCCTTCAGAGCTGCCGTGGTGGCTTTCGCCTTCAACACTGCAACGCTGACGCAGGCAGGAATGCGAACCACAGATGCGACAGTAGTCAAAACAGCGTCCATCTCGGATTGCTGCAGCTGTCCGATGTTGTTCGCGTGCAGCGAATCGGCTAGGGCGAAGAGCTTCAAATGTTTCTTCAACTTCTTGTACTCGGTCTGCATATCGGGATCTGCGTTGTACTTGCTGAGAGCCTGGGTGGCGAAGTTCAGCTGCACTCCGAGCTTGCCCTTCGCCATGGCCACGAACAAGTTGAGATGGTTGATGTGCCTGTCGGCGTCGTCCAGCTCTTCGATGGGATGCGCGCCCCCGAGGTCGCTGTTCGAGCTGGTGCCGACGGAGTGGGCGCCCAGCTTCTTCGCCGACGGTGGCGCCGTCGCGCCCTTTCCTGCAGCTGGCGCCCTGGACGCCCCAGCGGGCTGCTGCGACGCCTTGCGGTCGGATGGCGGCGAAGGCGCGGGCTGGTGGGATGCCAGGCGTTTGCTCAGCAGCCTCTTGCCTCCGACCGACGGATCCGACATCGACTTCATCTGCATCATCTCCCATGTTGGTCTCGTCCTCGCCATCGTCGCCAAACCTGGTCGCGCCGTCGTCCGTGGCTGCATCCCCGGGGTCAACGCGTGATTTCCCGTTTATCTTGGCACTCCACGTTTTCACGGTGTAGAACTCTCTCTCCAGTTGTTTGTCGAATGGTACGTGCTTGCTGTCAGAAACCTCGCAATCGTGGATCATGTTGTTGACCTTCCAGTTCATGATGTCCTGGGCCTGGTTCTCGCACAGGTGGGAGGCGGTGTCCACCATGACGCAGGCGCGCTCAACTCCAGACGCCTGCTCGATCACAACGCTCCTGAACGGGAGGTCGGGGCCGTAGCAGAAGAGCCACACCTGCTCGAGGCCAGGCGAACCCCGCTCCCTGGGAATCATCATCGTCGGAAGCCACCTGGTCTGCCGAAACCGAGGTGGCTGTAGCACAACTTTCTTGTACTCCGCAGCGTTCAAGGCCGTGAACTTGCGCTCGATCCTGACGCGATCCACGAACGACGAGGTGACGGTCTCCTGCTGGAAAGTCGTGTCGCCTGTCGAGGCAGCGGTCTTGGCCTCGGTCCAGTTCGCGACGAAAGCTGTGTCATTGCTGGCCAAAAGGGCCCACACCTTCGAGATCGGCAGGTAGCTGAAACCACGCTCGTACACTACCGACTCCTCCTTGCACAGCAGCCACTGGCTCTTGTTGCCGTCGTCGTCCACGTCGTCGTAGCTGACCAAGCCGCCCATGGCCTGCGGCGCACGCCAAGCCCCGTTCCCCAAGTGATGGGGGGGGGCGGGGAAGGGTCGTGGAAACACCCCCAGCACGGACACGGACAAGCATGGACGCAAGTCCTTCTCTCTTTTCTCCCCCATTATGTGTCTTCTCCTACTCCTCCTCCTCCTCCTCCTCCTCCTCCTCCTCATTATCCTCCTCATCATCCTTGCCTTCCGCCTTCCTGCGGTTTCTTCTCCCAGGCGTGGCCTTAGAAGCGTGAACCCCGCAGCTGAGGCAGCAGGAAGGGTTCGGCCTCTGCGGTGCACTGGCCCTCGCCCTGGACTTGGCATATCGCCCCTTCTTCCTCGGCGGATCAGCTGCTGGGCTCACCGCGCGGCTGGACGCGTCCATCTTGCTGGCGGCCATGCGGCTCGGGCAGGCGCACGCCTGCCCGCAGTGCTGGCAAGTGCGCGCGGGGGCGCCGCCTCGAAACTGCCCTCGCAGAAACTCGGCGCCAATGGCTATGCCGCGAGGGGCAAGGCAGGGCAAAGCACGTGTGCAAAGGAAGAGTATGTCAGCCACGCTGATGATGGCCATGTTGGGGGAACGACTGGAGGCGCGGGCGGCGACTCAAGGGGTGGCGCCGAACGAAGCACTTCGACGCACGCAATCGCGACGAGTTGCTGACACGCACCACGGGAGGCCCACGACCACGGCCCACGACCACGGGAGGCCCACGGGAGACGCAGGGCGCAGCGCGAATGGTTGGGCACCAGACGGCAACACGGCACTCGACCCGCATAACTTACAAACGACACCGCATTGAGACGCCACCCAGAGAACCAGTCTGGCCCAAGTGCCCCCGCAACAGGAATGGCCAGCCCCACTGTCCAGCGGTGACCAAACCCCAGCGGCCCAACAAGTGACCAGGTCACCCGTTGCTGGGCCGCTGGGGCTGGCCCCATGTTGCCGAGCACCTGCTGCGCTCAAGGAACGAGAGAGATACATAGAGTGAGGGGGGAACTTAACGAGGGGAAAGAGCGCGCGATTTCACCCCCCTGATCGTGCAGATCCAGCACACTATTATAATCACTATAGCAAGATACGCCCGCTGGCCCACCGCGAGGCCGCTTTGTCCGAGCACCCCATGGAGCTGACGCTGATCAGGCAGCCAACCCAAGACATCATTACAGACGAATGGCCTGCAACCGAAACTACAATGCATTCTACAAAGCAACTGCGATGAAGAGCCTGGGCAATGCCAAATGCTCGCCCGTGGGCGGACCATCGAGCAACTCCAGTCGTCGCGCGGGCCGCGCGAGCTGGCTCTCTTAACTCACTCGGCGGGCCCGCGGGGCCCGACTCAATCCAGCGCCGAGGGGCTGAGATCTACTGAACTACTGTCCCCCTGGTAGTCCACGGCCTGGCCCTCGCTGCCACCCGCCGTGGACGCGACGGGCGACGCCTCGGCACCGCCGCGAAACGGGAGGGCCAGGATGCTGGGCCCGCTTGGCGTGCACGGCTGAGGCAGCGGAGGATCATGAAGCTGCCCGCTGGAGAGGGTGATGACCCTCGGAGTCTCGTCGGCCGTCGTCGTGTACTTCTTGACCCATGCTTTCTTCAGCTGCAGCTCTGGCTTCACAATGCGGATGTTGTCCGAATGCACCTTCATAGTTTTGGCGGCCCTCCTCATGAACAGCTCCTCCTCGCGGTTGTTGAAGAGAGAGCTCTTGCCCTTCTGGATGGTGAACACGTTCGTGAAGATGAACTTCCCACCGTTGTTGGTCATCACCTTCCCGATGGCGTTCGGGGGCGCCTGGGGGGCCGACTGCATCATGACCTGGTTGCCGCCGATCTCGTCGGCGATCTCGCGTGCCAAGAGCGCCATGCACTGCGCCTTCGTGTTCGGCTTCGGCTGCGCCCGCTGCGGATCCGCCGGCCGTGGATCTGCTGGCCCGTGGTCAGCGGCGCGTTGCTGGGCGCCGCCTCCGTCGGCCGCGTCGGCCAGCGGCGCGTCGGCCAGCGGCGCGCTGCTGGGCGCCGCCTCCGCGCTGCGCATGTCGACGTCATTGTTGGCGTTGCCCCCGTGCAGGAAGCCGATGGCGTCGGGCACGCCGCAAAACATCTTCCTGGTATACTCGTTCTTGTCCACAGCCGTCATCCTGGATCTTGGCGCCCTCGTGGTCGCCGAGGCCGCTGGCCGCTGGGCCCTGCTCGGCTTGGGGTGGCCCACGAATCCGAAGGCGCAGGTGCTCTGCAGGAATATGCGATGCACAGCCCAACTTGCCTCGACGAGTTGAGCCAAAATGGATACGGAGAGGAGGGGGCGGGGACGCAGGGACAGGGCGGAGCGGATAATGACCCAAGACGGCCCCAGGAAGGCCCACCGAGGGGCCCAAGCTGGGCCCAAGAGCGAGACAATCGATGAATAGATTTACGCCAGGGGGCCGCTCGCCCTCCTCCCTCCGAGGCGTGCGTCCCCCCCCTCCGTCATCCCACCTGCCTCTGAGGCACGCGCCCCCCCCCCCCCCCCACCCCTCCTTCCTCAACCGCCCCCCCCCCCCCCCCGCGCTTCCATCCGCAACTGCGGGGGCGGACGACGCACACGCGCCACACGCACACACACGCACACACACACACACACACACACACAACACACACACACACACCACACACACACACAAACACACACACCACACCACACCCACACAAACACACACGCCACCACACCACACATATGTATAATAATTATATGTGCATATGTATATAACACACAGCGCTGCCCAAACAGACGTCGCCCCGGGCGTTCTCAGGTCGGCGGCCTGAGTGCATGCATGAGAGTGAAGGCGAAGCCCGTAGATATCATTACTTGCCCAGCCGATCGCTGCTGCGCAGCGAGCTTCACAACAAACCAAGTGCACAGACTGAGGCTGACGATCCGCTGATCACGGCGACTGAACGTTTTCCTCTGGCCGCAAGGCCTCTTAGCGCCACGGGGGGAGAAACGGCGAACCGAGACGGCGAGAGGCCAGCACGCTGCATTGCACAACCCCCACTGTCGGGGGGGTCCTCTCGGGCCCCTCTTGGAACCCTCTTAGGCCGCTCTTGGGCCTCTCTTGGAACCCATATAGGCCCCTCTTGGTCCCCTCTTGGGCCGCGCGAGCGCCCCTAATTCAATAGTTTCCGAATGCTCAACGAGGGCCCCAAGAGGAGCCCAAGAGGGCTACTCGAGTGCCCAGGGGGCCCACCCGAAAAGCTTGAATTCGAGGCGCGGGTGGGTCGCGAGCGGGTCGCGGGTGGGCGGGTCGCAGGTGGGTGGGTCGCGGGGTGGGTCGCGGGCGGATAGCTGGTGGGTCGCGGGCGGGTCGCAGGGTGGGTCGCGGGTGGGTCGCGGGCGGGTCGCGGGTGGGTCGCGGGGCGGGACGACGCCAAACAAAAAGCACACAACAACAACAACGACGACGACGACGACGACAACAACAACAACGACAACGACAACGACAACACAACGACAACGACAACGACAACAACAACAACAACAACAACAACACCACCAACACCAACAACAACAACAACAACACCAACACCAACACCAACAACAACACCAACGCCAACAACAACAACAACACCACCAACACCACCAACACCAACACCAACAACAACAACACCAACACCAACACCAACAGCAACAACACCAACAGCAACAACAACAACAATAACACTTTGCATCGCGACATCCCAGTTTAGCCACGCACCCAGCACCGACGGAGCTGGGGGCGGCGCTCGAGAAGGCGGCCCAGGGCACAAGGCTCACACGTACTCATCGTGAAACAATGGTTGAGAATGGGGCCGCTGGCAGCAGCGACGGTGGAGGCGACGGATTGGCCCGCTAGCCTCCGACCAGTTCACTGAGCCTCGATGTGGTCGTGAGGAAAATCTGCTCGGGCGCCTTTGGGTCCAGTCCGACGCGCGGCAGCAGCGTCGCGCGGGAAGGGTGGTGGCGATTGTGGTGGTGGTTGTGGTGGTGTGATGGTGGCGGGGTGGTGCATGGGGGGGGGGGGAGGGGGGGCGCGGCGGCGCGCGCGCGCGTGTGCGTGTGCGTGTATGTTTGCGGGAGGGGGGGGGGGGGATGGTGGAGGGAGGGGGAGGGGACTTGGTGGTTGGGTCGGTGACGACGGTGGTGGCTGGTGGTGGTGGTGGCGGTGGTGGCGACTGGTGTTTTTTTTGGGGGGGGGGCATGCGCCTGGCCACTCCTGTGGCGTGCGGAACAGAATGTAGGAGGGATGACACGTATGTGGCATGTTTACTGGGGTGTCTATGTGATTACAATATGTAGATGTATGTGTATGCATATGTCTGTGGTGCACATGTATGTCATATATACATCGTTGGATGAGTATATACATATATGCATTCACGTATGGATCATACGGTATAGTTGTGAGTACGTGAAGGGGGGTACTTGCGTAACACATATATCAGAGTGAGGGGGCCGAACGGTCATTCACTGTCCCTGGCCGCGACGCACGAGCACGGGCATCCTGCAGCTGGGGCGCCATCGTGATGGGGCGTAGCACCGTCGCGCCCAAGACTGTCGGGGGGGACCCAACACAATCCCTGGGCGGTCCGCCGCAGGCTGTCAGGGGCTCCGACCAGCCCCATGGGCGTCAGGCCCCAGATTTTCGGTGGCCCCCACCCAGTCCCTGGCCGCCTGGGAGCCCCGTCCAGTCGGGTCGGGGACCCCGCCCTCCCCCACCACGGGACTTCCCCGAGCTCAGGGAGGGTCCCATCCGGTCCTTGGGCGTCCCGTCCCAGACTGTGGGGGTCTCGGGCCGGTCCCTGGGTGTCCTTTCGCAGACTGCAGGGGGGCCGCCCGCGCACGGGGCGTGCGCCAGGTCACCTTTTTCCTAACTTTTTCATAGCTTTTTGGACCTAGTGGAGACTGTTTTTCTGAAAAACGGCTCGGGCCGGGACAGGGGGGGCACTAGTGGCGCCCCCCAAGGGCTCGGGCCGGTCCCCTGGGGGCGCTGTT